ATGTTAGATAGAGCATCATTTTTCAGTTGAATGCTGTTGAAGCAAGTTATTAGGAGAAAGTTTGAAGCAATTATCTTTCACTTATGTACATTCTAACATGCGATTTCCCCTTCTACCTGTTAGTTGAACACCATAGAATCTCCAGAGCTGCCCACTGCTGTCACTTCTGTCAGTGACAATACAACAAAAACTGAAGCGGAAAGTATCTCCACTGGCACTTCTCAAGGGTTGAGAAGAAGAATTGTGTGAGTAGAGGTCTTGCCTATGTTATCTTTTTGACTTAATGGGAAAAAGGAAACATGAATTTTGTTTTTCAACAGGCCCACATCAAGTGTTGAAGACAGAAGCCAAAATACTAGTATTGATGCAACTGATTCAGCTCCTATCAAACTGGATGCTGGAGCACAGGCTCATATTTCAAAACACAGGTACTTTTTGTCCTAAATAGATACAAAGTTTTCATGGCATAAGGTGTTGGATTTAATATTTATATTTAGACAAAAGTAAAGGATATTTATGGACGAACTTTGGTTCTATCAATATTTCATATTTTTTTTCCCAAATCAATGCTGATAATTCTGTCAGTGATGTTATTTGGTAAATAAGTAATTTTCAGTTATAAAGATAAAAAAAAAAAAAAAAAGGAATTTAATTCATTGTGTGGACCTACCTAAATAGGAAGCTTCAAGAAGACTTGACTGATGAAATGGTTGACCTTGCACGACAACTCAAAGAGAGTACTCTCATGATGAATCAATCCATAAAAAACACCGAAAAAGTAAGTTTGTCTGTCACTCTGTCTGTCTCTGTGACTGTTACTGTGACTGACTACAGGTTTGGTGTAATTGGAGTGCAGATTCTTGATTCGACAGAGGAAGCAGTGGAACATAGCTTAGCAAGCACAGGGAGAGCCAATACACACGCAATGGCTATATACTCGGAGGCTTCCAAGACTTCATGTTTCAACATCCTTTTGATGCTTCTAATGACATGTATTTTTTTCATGGTGGTTTTTCTTATCAAAGTCACATGAAAGCATCCATCCTTTGTTAAATACATTTTATGGTTGTCGACTTTCATCACTTGAAAATATTTGTATCTTGTAGTACAAATAGGGTTTTATTTTAAGTAATATGATTAAAGTAGATAGTGACAACTAACTTGTGTTATGTTATTAATTTATTTTTTACAAGTTTAAGTTTCTTTTCCTTTTTTTAATTAAATTTAGTTGATCAAATTAACAAAGTAATTGAAAACGGATTGCCATTCTGATATTGACTAGTGACTAATATTAAATTAGTGTTGGAACTAATTTGATGTTTGAGTTGGACATTGGACACAAATTTAACCAATGTAGTTAACGATCAGTTTGATATCCAGATTCTTCTTAAATATAACACAAATTTCAGCTGTTGGAATTAAATTTAGTATTGATAAGATTTTATGTTGATTACTATAGATGTCATATACTCATTATCCATTACTAGAGAATTTTCAAAAGTCGTTTATAAAATTTTGGGAAAGAGTATAGCCAAACTACCAAAGTAAGTCAGATAATATAGCTGATAGAATTTGAACTTATGTAGATGGTAATTTGAACTTATAGTAATTGAAAATTCATTTGATCTATACTATATAATAAAATAGGCAAAAGCCTCCAATTGCAACATTTTATAAAAACTACTTATTTATGCAAAATGGGGGAAGGCGACCTGTCAATCCTAATGTTATGTTTCCACAAGCCCAGGTCATGTCTTTTGCAAAAAAAAACTGTTACACATCAAGTCTCACATTATTCTAGGACATCTTTTTTTTGCTTTTATCATCAATCATCTTTTACTCTACACTCCTTAGTGTCGATGATGATAATCTACCTATGGCATGTCCATACCACCTCTAAGGCTCTAAGGCTCAAATGACATTCCCTTATACTAACACCTACTCATTCTTCATTTGTCTCCTTGCTAAAATCACACCAAAGATACATGTTTTAACAATGTTGATTTGTAGCCCTTTTATCTTCTAATGTCACCCTCTAGGTGTTCAACGGAGCATGAGCATTCACTAAGGCACTTCCTTAGATCTATGTAGAGTATCAAGATGAAAATATATTGGCTGAAAAAACGAACCCAATCTCTCATTCAAACTCATTGTCTCAGTCTCAAATATGAAAGTTTCATTTTGACAAGATTACAATTTGATCTAAAGCGAAAACTTGAAACAATGACATACAAATTAGCAATAAAAATTTGACAAAAAAAAAAAAAATCAATGGGCGTATGTGTTGCTTTATAATTGCCCCAAATCACAAACAGATTAACAATTTAATTCCAATCTGACAAATTCCTTTTTAGTGGTGTAGGGCTGTAGCCCTGTACAAAGAAGACGATTCCATATTTACATTTCTAAGTCTATATAGGCATATGGTATTTTTTGTTTATCATGTGAAGAACATGACTGCATAAACAAAAAAAGTGACTTTGCACCAGCCGGGAATCGAACCCGGGTCTGTACCGTGGCAGGGTACTATTCTACCACTAGACCACTGGTGCTTTTGTTTATTTCATTAAATTTAAAATAATATCAACAGTGAGTATTGTTTTGAAATATTTTCAGCCGCTACAATAAAATTTGTAAGGCCATGACATTATGTTAAACATTTTTTTTAATTATAAAGAACGATTACAAAACCATTATATTTTGTCATTTTTTTGGTTTAACCATGACATAACATACTACTTTTCATTTGTGTTAAAAAAATGACTAATTTTTTGATAGAAGTTTTATGGCAACCACTATGATCTATATTTGTATTAAAAAAAATCAATGTTCATTTTGTGCTAAAAAACTACCCATAAATTGATGGTTATAGCGAATTTTTGGAAAAATATAATGTTTTTGTTCGTAATTAAAATTGACTCTAATATGTAATAGTGGTCGGCCTGAAACGTTTAATGAAAAATTGTTGGTTTTTTCATAAATTTTTAAAAATTGGTAGTTAAACTGAACTTTTGAAAAAATATGGTCATTTTTCTGTTATTATCCCTACTTTTTTTAACAAGTCTATGGGATCAAAATCAAACAATTTGTTAAGTGATAATAGTTATCTGTCAAAAAAATTTTGGGAAAAAATATGTTGACTAAGAGCTTGATAGAAATTAGGCTTCAAGAACTAGCATGTCATTATTATTATTATTGTTTTTTTTATTTTTTTTTTCGAAATTTGCAGCAAAATTACTTTTTACAAATATCGACTTTAGCATTGTTGTAATTCTAAATTATAAGTATCATTTTTTTGACTGATTATTTTAGATAGTCAAACACTCAAAGTAGCTTACCTTGTTGCTTTGAATTGCATTGATGAAGTTCCATGACTCCAAACATAATATACAAGTTTTTTGTTTTGTGCTAATTAAGATCATTTGATTCATTTATCTGTTTATCGTTAACTCAGTGATTCAACGCTATAATATATCAAAAGAAAAGGATAATCAATTGTTGAATCCTATGTCGGAGGTCAAAGTACAACACAAAATAAGGAGAAATAAGAAAAGAAGGACGTTTTATGTTAAAATAAGGGTAAAAGGATAAGGTTTAAATAAATAAGTATAAAGTAACTTATCTAAACTTCTTATTTACGTCAAAAAAAATATTTTTAATATTTATTTATTTAAATACTTAAAAAAGTTTATTACTGAATGTTAAACTAAAAAAAATTAATAAATATTTTAAATAAACATTCCCAAACACCCTTTAATATTATGTTATTGTACAAAAATTTGACAAAAAAAAAAAACAATATATTCGGATTTACTATTATGTTATCGTACAAAAATTGACAGAAAAAGCAATTATATTCAGACTAAAGATATATATTCTCTCAAGCATAGAGAATACATATAATACAATAAAATTACAAGAAGATAATATCTTATGTCAAAAAATATATATAATCAATTATAATTGACAAGATCCTCTTTTAGACAGAGATAGTACAATACAAATACATTAAAAATACTTTCAATCAGATAGAAAGAATACTATATGATTATACCATACAAATAGATTAAAAATACCTTAGAAAAAAATACTATATGATTATACCATTGTGAGGTAAACGAAATATAATAGGATTTTACAGTAAAATAATACTATATTTCAAACAAAAAAGAATACAATAATATTATAATAATATAATGTTCTTAATTTGTCACATTAAAAAAACATGACTTTATCATCAATAAGCCCAAATTATAAGGAATTTTTTGAGAATTATCGGATAAAATCTCAAATGTGTAAACAATTGTGGGTGTCTAGTTCTTTTTTGAAAACAGATGTTTGTTTTTGTCATTTATATTAGAAAATAGGTAAAGTTACGGTTTTACAATTAATAACCCTGGAATATAAAGACTTTGCTCAGTATTTTCCTTATTTTTTTTGGTAGATTAGTTATGGTTAATTAATGAAATGTGGAAAAATCACAAAGTTTGATACATATTTCTTTTACGTGTATATAAATATAGTTATTCAAAAAATTATGTACATTTATATCTGAAAATAAAACTAATAAGTAGGACTCATAAAGTCAAAGTAAGACCATCAATATAAACAAGCCAATACGTCAGAAATAATTGATTGAACTCTTATTAAAAATCACAAATTAAGAATGTGAAACGATTATCAGCTATTTCTTGATGCATCCATGCCAACTCAAGATAATATACGAATTAGATCCTTATTTAACGGAAGATATAAAAAACAACATCAAATGATAGCCTCTCATATCTAACATTTATTTTCAAATTAAAGTTTCCTCAATTCCTCATAGCACTTTCTCTACATCTTTCGGATGAATTATGCAAAATGTAACAATCTTTTGCGTGTTTTTGCATCAAAAAACTTGTGTGTATTTATGTATAATTAAATGTATATGTATATGCGTATATACTACCTTAACAACTTATACAATGCAAGTAGGCACAAATATTCTCCGGACACTTTCATGGATCATACCCAAGACGAAGCTCCAAATCCAGTTCATCATCAGCTTCATTTCCCTCTTGAATACTTTCTCCTTCATGTGACAAACCAAACTGTAAGCTTAAACTTAAGCTCAATCTCATCTCCTCTCGAGTTGAACTCGTGATGATCAATCCATTAGGGTTTTTATGTTTTCCATGATTGTTATCATAGATTATAGGAGTAGATCTTGACATGAACTCACGAGTGATCAAGCATGGCTGGTGGGGTCTAGTGTTGCTCTTTGAAGGATTAGATCTGCTCTTTGCTCTATCTTTCCTGTGGACATTCATATGTCCACCCAACGCTTGAGCTGTAGTGAACCCATGCTTGCAATACATGCACTCATAGGATCGGCCATTTTGTAAATCCATCTGCTCATCAGCTTCTTCGTGATCCAATATTATGGAATCCATTAAAGAAAGCACAAGCTTTATGTGATTAAAAAGGAAAAGGGTGGGAGTGGGGTTATTCCTTTGATTAACAAGACTTGTTCAATTCTTTAGCCGGCTGTTTTTAATTATATCTTTAATGGTCGCTTGTGTATTGTCCTATGCTTACCTATTTCGCGACACTTGTGCGTCGTGTGGAATTATGTGCGTATAATTTGTCTTTCGTGTTTGGATTTATATGGAATACGATTGTCGTGTTTAGATGACCACTAATCACAAGGACTAATGACTAATGACTATTCAGACATGACTTGTTTTGGAAGATATATTTTAAATACCTTTCATTGATCTTAGTTTCGTGGAAGGACCAAAGTTGGAATTAACAACGACGTTACTAACACGGATTCGAGTATTATATGTATGTGTATATATCAATGTATTTATGTATATATGCCATATGTGTGTAGACATTTGTATGTATATTCTATTTGTGAAGGGTTAAGAAACTGAGCTATCATTGCTGAAAATAGAAATATTGGGTACTTTTTATTTCAATGTTAGTTTGATCATTTAATTTAACAAAACATCGATAAATTGTTTTAATTGTTATGTTACTATGATGAATTTAGGTGTAACATACAAAATCAAAGATTCTTCAAGTTGTTTCACCCTTTTAAGAGTTTCTTCTAAATATTGGTTTCTCTCTGATTCTAACAAACTCCGAAGCCCAACAGTTATGTGAAGAATAAGGATTCATTTCATTTGCTATTTATACGTGTTTAGTTTGCATTGCTTTCCTTAAACCTTATGCTCAAAAAAGAATGATTGCCTTCACATGTTTTGCTAACTGTAAACACCAAGTGAAGCTTTCAACTTGCTTTTAGAATTTAAAGCCTATCATTGGCTTCTTGTAGTGCACCTGTTTCTCTTGCAGCCTGTATATGTAGATTGACGCATGGGAGCTTTTCATGTAACGGTTGATACATTCACTAGATTTCAATAAAATCACATTAGCACCACACCTAAGAAAAAACAAAGGGAATCTAACGGTTGATACATTCACTAAATCAAAGAAAAATTCAACAGGTTTTAGGGCACAAGAAATCTCAATATTTTTGATTTGATAGGAAATGATAGAATTTAACTATTTAATCTCTAGCAGAATACACAGAAAGGGTTTAAAGAGGGGAGAGGGAGCTGGAGAGAGAACCTCTAGAAAACCAACATTACCTTCAATTTTTCCACTTCTGCACTTAATTTGTCAATCTTTTCTTCTACATGGATTGGGGCTGTTTCATGAACAATAGCTAAACGCTTGCTTCAGTAAAAAAATGGTGGCGGACTCGTATACTAAGATTGCAAGTGAGGAAAGTGATGATTTCGGACCATGTTATTCCAATAGCAAAACAAATTTGTATGGCAGAGTGCATCGAAAGAAATTACCTGGAGCTGATACGCATTGGGGAAGAAATCGCTATTAGGATCACAGAAGTCCGATGAGACTTTCATTTTGGAAAGTTGAAGAAGTCCGATGACTTTGAAGAGAATCTCAGTTTGAATTGATGGAAGAGGAACGGTTCTCTACTAAACTGCCTCTGATTGTGAGATTGTCATTGATTCCTTCTCCCGTGAGAATTGAAAATCAAAAGGCGAAGCTTTGAAAAGCCACAATTGTTTTCTGGCAAAGGAACTAAAAATTAAAACGCATTCTCCGGCGAGTTTGTAAAAACTAAAAGTCGTGAAGCTGTTGGCGTTTCCGATCAGTTAGGTTATTGTGTTATTGAATCATGTTCACATTGAACCCAACCCGCCAACCGAATGAAAAACTCAAAAGTTTATAGGTTTAAACAAGGTTGTGAAGATTAGCTCCTAGGATCGTTTTTGGGTTTGCAACATCTGGATTGAGATCTTAAGATCCTACAAAATATAATACAATTTTAATTTATAATATTTAATCATGAAACATATTTCAAATATTTAAATTTTCATTCAAAAGTTATAACAACTTCAAAATATTAGTCATAAGTTATAATAAAAAATGATAAATGATAGATTGGTAAAGGGTAAAAGACATAAAATGGTAAAAAAATTCCATTAAAAAAAATCAAAGGAAGGTAGGATTTGATCGGATCTCGATCCTACGATCATATCTATAATCTTACGATCCTACCCCAAATACGATCATTTTACGACCCATATCGTTTTTCATACCTAGGATTGTAGGATCGTACGATCCTATGATCATGATCGCGATTTTGACAACCATGGGTTTAGAACTTCAAATAAAAGTGGAAGGAATGAAAAAAAAAACAACTCATATTACATATTTTATAGAGTAAATTACAGTTTTGGTCCCTGCGTATACATCTTTCTGCAGGTTTTGCCCTAGTTTTGAAATTTGACACCTGGTTGGCAAATCTATCAACAATGGTCCCTCAATTGTATGTATCAGATTTGAGATGGAGGAATTATTGTCAGAGAGGAGGTGGTCACATGTAATGGAGAGACGTAGGGCGTCAAATATAAGGTGGCAGTCGGCAATAGAAGAGGACATGGTTAGTGATAGATGAAGGGCGGATAGGCGGAGAAAAAGGTATTTGTCGGAGCTCCACTAGCGGGACACTCAACCCTTTCTCTTTAATAATATCTTGTTTTATCCCCTTGATTTAGTTTTAAGTATTTATTGTCTATCTAAAGTTTATAGATAAACAAATATATAATATATATAAAAATATATGCTATAGTAATATGTTAATCGTTTGTACGTGAGTGAATGAATGTTTATATTAAAATACGTGTTTAAAAACAATTAGTTAAATGTAGGGGTTCTATATATCGTTTTAGATAGATAAGAGTGAAGTAGTTAAATTAATAAAAAAGTCATAAAAGAGCTGAACCATTGGAAAAACAATCTAATTAGAGGTCAATATTACTAAAATAGTGGTGTGATGATATTTTTAACCTATAATATAGGTTTAACATTGAAGATGCTCTAAATCAAAAATTAGACTTAAGAAAAAAAAGCAGCTACAACTAGTATTTTCTTATTTAAGTTTAATCAGTTACACGGACATAATGAATCCCCAAAACAAATAGGGGGATGAGTGTTATGTTTATTTGGTTTGGTTTGATCAATTTTATAACTTTTAAACTGATAGTAACCAAATCTAATAAAGCTTGATTTAATTGGTTTTGGGTAATTTGATTTGGTTTATCAGGTAAACCAAATATTCCAGACATCATTGGAGTGGAAAAACCATAGGTCACGTTAACTTAACTTGTAAATATTTTCTTGTCATTTTTTCAAAAAAAAATTATGATAAATTTATAGTGTGTAAAATACGATTATAAATTAAGACTATATTATACTAATATCATAACAACAATACCTATGAATAAAATAGTAAAAAAAAAGTTATACAGTAAAATACACCGTCTGATTTTCTTTCTAGCAGTTTATTCCATCCTGACTTGTTTCATTTTTAACTAGATTTCCGATCTCATCAATTTGATAAATTGAAAAAAAAAAAAAAAACTCATTACTAAACATTACTGAAATTAATCTATCAATTACTAACTAAATAGGTCAAGACCACACATCTTCAATCTAATGTTGAGTCACACTACCCAGTCCCATCAGGGACAACTAGAAGATAAGTGAACCACAATGAGCACTAGGGAGCAAGCAGCGCAATAAGAATGAAACCAAAATCCAAAATCCAAATGATCATATTATTCATGATTCATCTTGCGCCTTTAAGAAACTGAAACCTGAATAATCACAAATTAGTGGTGCGGGCTCCACATCTTCTATATTCACCCCATCCATTGATTTATAGAGGTCATCAACAGAGAATGGTATGTTGTATCACAAGACATGGAAATGTTTGCTTAGATATATACAAGTTCCAATTAAGAGAAAAAAAAAATGCCAAAATAGAAAACAATTTGAAGTTTGTTCTGATATGTCAAACCTTGAGTCATCATCCAGCAAGAATGAGCTTCTCTCGGAATTATCTGAATCCATGAGCATTCGCATGTTCTGAATCACCTGAATTACACAGGAAATGAGATGAGATGAGTAGTTAATAATATTAATAAATATATTAAATTTGTGTTAATTGAACATACATCTGGAGAAAGGCTATGCGTGACCTATTTGTTATCCGAATATTGAGTACTAATTATGTATAACTGTTGTATGTTAAGAATTGGACACATTACATGACTTATTTCATCCAGTGTTTTCTTTGGCTTTTTGATGTATAACCTAAATCCAATAAATAAAAATCAAAGGTCAACTGAACAAAGAATTGATAAAAGTTAGATAATTCTATAAACTATTAAGAACATAAGTTGGAATACCAGGAACCCAACAGCTTGTCTTATGTGCTTAAGTTCAACCCAAGCTGATCCCACATACTAATATTTGATTTCTCAAAGATCAGATTAAGAAGACAGAAACAACATGAAATAAAGAGAGAAAAAGAAGAGAAAAGAAAAGGCTACATCTTCAATTGCTTTGTAACACCAATGGTACAGTTTAGACAACCCTGCCTTCACATATTCTCCATTACTGAAAGTTGTGCATTCTCGTCTCAATAAAACACTGCAATCATAGATTAGAAAATAAAAAATCAAATGAAAATCGTGTAAATAAATAGGCATGCACGAAAATCTTCTTGTCTCACAACCTGTTGAATAATCGTGCATTGATGTAAGAAAAATTTTGCGTGAAGATTTTCCGAACCAAACATGATGGCACCTACAAGGACACAATAAGTGAAGGAGATGAATATAGTATTTTTTTAAAAAACATTTTTATGAAAAATAGGCTAAAATTGAAAAAACAAGTTCATGACTTGTTAAAATTTCAAGGGGTTGTACCCTATTTAAACGTCATTATAGCCTCCCACCCCAACCTCCAGCACCTTTAGAGCATTTCCCCTGTAAACCCTAGTCCCCATTGTTGAGTTTGAGTGTGTTTGTGCTAGCTTGGAAGTTTTGGAAGAGAAGAAAGGAAA